AAGCATGTAGAAGATCAACACTGCATGTTTAAAATGGACACCATATTTATTGAGGGGATTATTTACCCCCTGTTGAAAAAGATTTATTTATAGTAGAGGTGGATGGTATATAACTACTGCAGGGGAGCCATTAAACCAATCTGCTTTTTATGCTATCATTTTGTAGTTTTGAATATGTCTACTTTCAACCATTTGCATGAATAAAATAGTAAAGGGGTATGTATCCCTCCTAATTTTAAATTTTGTATTGTGGCTTTATCTGGAGCACCTCAAAATTCCATTTTTGTTTGGGATACAAGGGTTTATACTGTGAATAGGATGTGGTTCCTCCACAAAAATGCCTGAGGCATCCCAAAATTACACGATTTAGCTATGATATTAATACAGAATTAGGGTTTTTTGAAAATGCTGTAAAGGGAAGATGTTTTGGAAATTGTATAAACCACTTTTATGTATCAATTAACAACCTGAAAACTGCATTAATAGGGAAATTCTTAAATCAAAGCAATATTTGGTCAGTACTTGTTTTATTTGTTTTGGAAATTAACCTAGTGGATCAATAAATTTTAACTTTTAAAAAAACTACTACACTATGGGCTATTTCTTGGTGGCTCTGCGGTGAGCCTCATATCCGTTTTAGTGCCCAAGCCCGTGACACCTGAACCGTTTTAAGGATGATGTACGCCCTGATGCAGACTACACGGCTTCCTGCCCATTTCTGAGAGGGAAGTAGCAGTCTGGCCGCTCCACATCTGGAGGAAGGGGAGTCCACAAAACGGTCTAGCTCGTCCATCCCTTGTTTATATAACACAAGCGTATTGAAAATACGCATCTGGTGAGTGCGCATTTTCACTATTTGTCACCAGATCACTGGATTGGAAAGTCACTATCAACTTTTGAACAGACCACGAACTATCACTATATATATTTTTTACTCATCACTTTTGGAATACATATATTTGTGTGTTCATTTTTTAGTGCTGCACCTTTTATATATTTGTACTTATGAGGTTTATTCTTTTGGTTACCTTGCGTGTTATAGCAGCTAAATAGTATGTTTGTAAGCGCTCACGGATTACCTTTCTTAATATTTGTTGTGTCTATCCTTTTGCCTTTAAAACAGCATAAATGTATACATTTGCACACAAATTACGATTTGATAGGCATAGGGTTTAGTGCATAGTACCAAACTGGTGTTAATTATCTGCAAAATAACATTTAGGTTAAAATGCAATCATTAAAGCAAGCAGAATTCGCTGTGTGGAAGGAATAAAGCTGGGTGAGGAAAAGCCTTGCTCTAAAGGCTCATTTACTGTACATGAAGAGTAATGTGTGGAAGAATGCTTTTCAAAGGGAATCTAACAAATGGTGAAGAGGAGTTATGTCAGCTCCTCATCTCCAGTTTTAATGTTTGAAAACCTGCACCACTGCACATGGGGCGGACTAACTGCATCACCATGGTCTTTCACAAGCAGAAATATCAAGTAAGACAGATGTTTTTAGATTGTTTACTTGCTGCCCAAACTTTTCTGCAAAAATACAAAGAATCAGGCAACTTTGAGGACTGAAAAGGCAGTGGTTGGCCAAGGAAATGCAGCTTATGAAAGACATCATGCTGATTTCCTTTCATAATTAGAAGATGTCCAGTGGCACCATCAGCTCAGACCTAGCAGAAACCAGTAGCAATCTGGATGACCTATCTAAGGTTTGGAGAACGCTGATCAGAATTGGTATCAATGGAAGACTTGTAACTAAAAAGCCATACCTTCATCGTGGAAACAAGGCCAAGGGACTTGCCTATACATACAGTACAAAAAAAAGAGAGATTTGGGATGCAGAAAAATGGCAGTAGGTGATCTGAACTGAGGATTCTAAGTATAAAATATTTGGCCATAACAGAAGGAAGTTAGTTCACTGAAGAACAGTAGAAGGATGAGTGTCTGCAAGCAATAGTGAAGCATGGTGGAGGTTTTTTGCAGGTTTAAAGCTGCATTTGTGCACAGATTTGGCCATATGGTCAGCATTAATGGTCCTCCCTATGCTAAAAATTACAGGCAGAAAATTATTTATCATTATTAATATGAAATACCATCCGGGAGGCATCTAATGGCTCCCAAATGTATTCTGCAGCAAGACAATGATGCCGAACATACAGCCATAAAGTCATGAAAAACTATCTTAACCTCTTGTCACCAGCCAAACGCAAATGTGCGGCCTATGGGCGTCTGGGCCTAGACACCGGCCGGTCACACATTTGCGTTTTATTAAAAAAACACATTTGTGCTGAGAGCCCGCACCCAGCACACATGTTCGGTACTCACGGAAAAGTCCAGATCTCCTCTTTTGATTGGGAGTCGGGACCTTTCCTGATCATGTGACTGCCATGACAGCGAATCACAGCGGTCACATGACCCTAAAATCCCACCCCGCCTCCCGGCTTCTGGAACCCTTAAAGGGCCAGGAAGTGCCGGCGCCAAGGGGTTAAGCAAAAGGAAGAACAAAGAGTCCTGGAAGAGATGGCATGGCCTCCATAGAGCCCTCATCAGTGAGTCTGTCTGAGATTACATGAAGAGACAGAAGGATCTGAGGCAGCCTACATCCACAGAAGATCTGTGGTTAGTTTTCCTAGATGTTTAGAACAACCTACCTTCCGAGTTCCATAAAAAGTACATTGCAAGTGTACCTGAAAAAGTGCAGTGAAGAATTGGTGTTGTTTTAAAGGATGGAAACACCCAATAGTTTTTTATTTTCTGTTTATACACTTTGTGGGTTGGTAACTAATTATTAAGCCTAACATGTGTCAACCAATACTGCAACAAGTGTACATCTAAAAATACAGTCCACTTTAAAATACATCAAGTGAAGAAAGTGAAGAATGGTGAAGAAATGTCTTTCCAAACTTGTGCCAATTCTAGTGTTTTCCCCCTCTATAATCCTAATCCACTCCTTATCAGAAAGTATATCATTGGGTCATCCCTGCATGTAGGTGAACCATAGGTTCTGTCATTGTTTGGAATCAATTTCTGTGTTCAGCATCCAGCTTAACCATAGATATGCTTAATGGTGATCATAGGAGAAGAAACACAATGCTCCACATAGTGTAACATTGTTAACCATTTCAATACCGGGCAATTTTACACCTTCCTGCCCAGGTCATTTTTCAGGTTTCAGCGCTCTCACACTTTGAATGACAATTGCGCGGTCATACAACATTGTTCCCAAACTAAAATTTTATCATTTTCTTCACACAACTAGAGATTTCTTTTGGTGGTATTTAATCACCGCTGGGGTTTTTATTTTTTGCTAAATTAACAAAAAAAGACCGAAAATATTTTAAAAAAAACACGTTTTTCTTTGTTTCTGTTATAAAAGTTTGTAAATAAATAATTGTTCTTCATAAATTTAGGCCAAGATGTATTCAACTAAATGACTTTGGTGAAAAAAACCCAAATTAGGATGTATTTTTTAGTTTGTAGGAAAGGTATAGAGCTCACAAACTATGGGATATATCTGAATATTGATCAATCCTGAAGTACTGACAGCCAATCTAATTTCTTGAGGTCCAAGAATGTCAGAATAGTACAGATATCCCCCAAATGACCCCTTTTTGAAGAGTAGACAGTCTGACGTACTTCATAAGAGGAATGGCGCGTTTTTTGAAGTTGTATTTTTTTTTGTTCAAATTTTTCGGAAAATTAAAAAAATTAAAAAATTATTTTCATTTTTTTTTTTTACATACTGTCACCAGTGCAGTACAGCGTCATCATATAACTGGCATGGCAGTGATCAGGGACACTGACTGGTGACAGTATGAAAAAAATATATATCTATATATATTTTTTTTAATTTTTTTATTATTTTTAATTTTTTATTACATTTTTTTTATTTTTTTTAAGATTTGTTTTCATATTTTACTCCGACCAAAGTAGTATAATGTTACCATAGTAACACTACTTTGGGGAAGTGATCAGTATTTTTTTTTTTTTTTTTACACAATTTGCTTATAGCAAAGAGCTACTTTGCTATAAGCAAGCATTTACCAGAAGAAATCAATTCATTTTTTTTTTTTTTTTTTTTTTTTGTGATTAGCTGTGATTTGGCCACAGCTAATCACATGACATGTGCATGTGACCTGCTGTGACCAATCACAGCTAGGCACTAGTATACAATGGATGGCATGAATGAAGCCATCCATTGTATACAACTGTCATGTGACCTGCTGTGATTGGTCACAGCAGGTCACATGGCACCGGCAACGGGGGCCGGTGCTCAGATCTGTCATCGGCCGTGTCCGAGGTACACGGCCGGTGACAGATCGCGCCGCTGCGCGGCTCTGCAACCGCGCGAACTGCGCATGTGCGGGAGCACGCCAAATGGAGTGCTTTCGGAATGGTGAAGCATTTTTGCCGTCGCCAAACGGCTATAGGCTGGGCAGCTAATGGTTAAAACTCCACTTTTACGAAAGTGCATAAAGAAGTACTCACAAAAGTAAACAATTGCTATAAAAATCAGTCTCCGCCCTATGCATTTCATCACAGGGGACATTGCGCCCCCCCATGATGAAATGCGTCAGCGGAATCTAGCTGCTGACATCATCATGCCCATTGGATGCAGCAGAGCTGTTTTATGGTGGTTGTCTTACAGTCTGTACTGCACACCTTTACAATCTGTACATTTGCAGTGCATACACTGGTCATACATAGTGATATATGTACACTCTTTGCTGCACAAATTTTAAATTGTGTACCTCTCTACCTTGTGTACTGTGCTGTATAAGGAAAAGCCCACACTGCCACATTCTGTGCACTGTGCTTGTTGTACATTGCTCCAGGCTGAACCTCCCTTTAAACCTTTTCATACATCCCGTATTGCACACTCTTTTGCCTCCTGAACCCAGACAGCTGTACTTTTGCTAATGCTTTAAAATAAGGATACACAATAAAAAATAAAAGCATGGTATAACTGACCTTTACATGTTAAAAAATTTTAAATCAACATACTGTGACCATAGGAGATCCAGCTAGTCTTAGGTTTTCATTTATTAAACTCATTAATCTCAGAAATACTGGATCTTCATATTTAAAGCGATGGCCCAGTACAATGGACACGATGATATTGGCCACAGCAGCATTGATTATCATGGTGTTTTCAAATGGTTTTCCTGAAATGAGAGTAATTAAATAATTCATACAGTTATTTTAAACTAGAAAATAAATAGTAATATAAATCTAGATCCATTATATTTAATCTTTAAATTTTTGAAGGTGTATACATTATTTTGTAGGGGGCTAGTTATATCAAATCTTTATTTTAGAAATAAAAAATGTATACCCATGACATTGGAGCCAGGTAGAAATAGGTATCTCATAAAGAGCAAGCAAAGCAGAAGCTCTTTGACTTCAAACACTTTCTCTAATTAAAACTCTATACTGCTAACTGAACAGAGCAGGCGGGGAGAGGGAGGAGTCGTTCCTCTGAATCAATCATCTGTGTCTGTAAATTTGATCTTGTGCTATTCAACTCTGTAAACAGTTTCTTTTTTTTTAACAGAGCAACTAAAAATAGAAAATGAAATGGAAAGGAGCCTACAGTTCCATCTACAAGGCTGTACGGTATTCTACAGCTAGTATCATAAGACCGTGGTATGCATCGGTTTAGTTTTAGATACAGTGTGGTAGGGCTAAAGTGATACTAAAGGCTTTTTTAAAATACAAAATAAGATACATTTACCTGCTCTATGCAAAGATATTGCACAGATAGTTTGCTTTTCCTCTCTTTTGGAAGTCCAACGTTGGTGCTGTCTACTTCTCTCTCTTTTGAATGCCTCCTGTAGCAAGCTGGGTGCTAAGAAAGGCACCCATGCATGCATGAACTCAACCCAGGGCTGTGTGTGTCAATAGATACACACAGAATGGGTAAACCATGTCCCTGCTCCCCCCATATTGTAGTTTATCTGATGGCAACAGGAGCCTATGGCTCCTTTGGCCCTCAGTTTCTTTTGTGAAAGCAGGAAATGAGGGGAGCAGTGCTGGAAATTGAGTGGGACATGGAGCCAAGTCAATGCTTAGACATGGAGGAGGAGGGGTAGGACAGTTAGTGGGATGTTTTGACCTTAATGCAGAGAATCTAATGAATCAAAGTAAAACATATTTAGACTTTATTGCTATTTTAAACCCTCTGTCAGGCTTTTATTGTTCTCTGTGATATCTTGGTGATTGCGAAAGTCACAATCTTTATTTGTTCTGTTGACCTTTATCAAGAGTAATCCAACATTTTACAGCTGTAAAACAGGAGGTGTGAAGAAGTCTTCTTATGAGGACATCCATGTTGTGACATGTGTCTGGAAGGTACATATTCATTATGGAAAAATATCACTTGTAGGCAGGTGCAGCCTATTTTCTCCACTGCAGGTGGCACTCAACTGCAGCGGCACTACAGAGGGAGAGGAATTCAAGAGGGACCTAGCTCCTATATGGTTTCCTGGGTCACAGGGGCAGTTATCAGATTGGATGATGGCTCATCATGTGACTTTGGTGGCCATCTTGGGCCAGACAGAGTCTACTTATGACCCTAGCTCCCGGGCTTTGTGCACATTTCGTGTGTGGCTGGAATAGGGACAGGTCTCCCAAATGTCAGGGACAATGCTTAGCATTAGGGAAAGGTTCCAGAAAAGTAAGGAATGTGTAGGGACACATCATCCTTCCTGGAAGCCTCCCCACTTGGGTATGGACCAGCCAAGCCACATTCCATCCCTCAAGACAGATGCTGTCGGCACACTTGGGACCTACTGCTGCTCTCATACTATGCTGTTACATCTGTGAGTGCTCCCGGTCCGATGGCCTTTCAAACGGGCTTGTTGTATTGGTGAACTTTATTGCAATATATATTATATTCCTGTTACTCGTACCTGGACTCTGAGTGTTTTCTGCCACCGCATCACACTGCACCCACCCACACACTTTCTATCTGAAGGACACAAAGTGATAGGAAATTTCCCCAACAGGACATAGACAACAATTCAAAACTGACAGAGCTTCTCTCTCTTTTCCACTACATCCAAAACTAGAAGAATGTTTTGTCTTGTCTTGTTAAGAGAATTAACGAGTGACTAACCTTCAAAGGATTTAAACTTGTTCACCAAACATTCACTTTCTTCAATAATTTTGTTTTCAACAGTTTTCTTTCCCATCCCAAAGTCTCTTAGTGTCGAAAGAGTAAACCGTCTCATCACTTTCCAGTTTTCACCATGAGCAAATGCAATACCTAAAAGAAAAGCTAGAAAAACATACATATATGAGGCAAGTGATGAAAATACTGAGCAATGACCTGATAATAATATTTAAAGTTGTTGGTGGTAAGCTGAACCACTTTTGAGTTCATCTATCTCTCTGGGATTTCAGGGAAAAGTTTGAAAAAAGCCATGTGCTTGCACATCAAAAGTGTGCCAACAGTATGCCGTGACTCTATGCATTCCTATGGGTAAGCCCTATTTTGCAGGGTGGCTGGTCTATGGTTCACCCATAAAATGAATGAGTGGGAGAGGAGCAACCCTACTAAGAAAAGGAGCTGGTGGGGACAACTTCATAACAAAGGCTCTGTAGTGCACTTCAGGGCTGCACAGTAAAGATTGCTGGGTTAGTTAACAGAACTAGACATGTGGGTTAGTTTTCTTCCAAATTTAAATTTGGTCAGATTTTTTATTATTGATAATCTTGGATGTATCCAAATTTCTCAATAAACAGTAATGAATTTCAGATAATCTGAATGAAACATAACAAAATTAATTGTTTCATTTGGATCCAAATGCAACAAATGATTCCAATTCATTCGATAATAGCTGGTTGTTAGGCTTGGTTCACACTACTGAGTTACTTATGGCGCGACTTTGCCAGGCAACTTCCTAGCGATTTCCTAGCAACTTGATATGACTAGAGCAGGGATGCTGTTAGAAACCACGGGGCCCCATATAGCCAAACTAACAGGGCCCCGCCTCCCTGTCAAAAAACCCCACAAAACTAAACTATCAATGATTCAGTTATGAATGAACACAGTGAGTGATCAGTTCTGCTTGTGTTCATTCGGGAAAGATAAGGGCTGGTAAGTGTGACATTTTTACCAGACCTTTCCCCCACTCTCCATCCTGAAGAATCATAATGTGTGCTTGTAGCTGCTGGTGGGAAGCAGAGGAGAGCAGCACTGTGGGGTGGTGGCACACAGGGGAACCTGAGCAGCAGGAGGGAAATAAATGGTGTATAGGAATAGTCAAGGGTGCAGTGGGGGGCAATTACTGGAACCGATCCCCTGTATCGAGAGGACTAGAAGCTAGCTTTCAACTGCTGCAGAGGGAGCCATACAGGGGATCAGTTCCAGTAACTGCCCCTACACTGTGCTTACCACTCTCCCTGTCCACATCCTATTCACCTAGCTTCCTGGGCCCCCTTGGCCTGGGCCCTGTACAGGAGGACTGGTTGTAATCCCATATCCAAAGCCCTGGACTAGAGTACAACTTTGATGTGACTTGATGCACGACTTTCATGCCATGCAACTTTGCCTGGGTAATCTTCCTGTAACATCAGATCGAAATGACCTGAATATAGATGAGGATCCGACTTGCATTAAAGTCTATGGGCAAAAGTCGGATATACTGTAAGTTGCCTTGAAGTGGTGCAGGAACCTTTTCTAAAGTCGGAGCGACTTTGGTAGTGCGAATTAAGCTCTCATCGACTAACATGAGATTTCACATGTCACAGGACTTGGGGGTCTCACAAATAGGATTCCAAGTCGTGGCAGTATGAACTGAGCAGTAAAGAGCAGGGTGGCTTCCTGAGTCTGGTAAGAATTGGGGGGGGGGCCTATTTCTTTTTTTTTTTCATTTTTAAATGTATGCACTGGTATTTCTATATTTTGCTGTCAGTGGGAATCCCACTGACAGCAGATGAGTTATGGCTGTTAAGGATGCAGCGGCTGGAACAATTCAAACAGAACTGTCCCGACAATGCCTTCCTTTTTCTTTCTTCCCAGAAGACCACAACCATATTTGTTCAGGTATAAATATGGTCAGAATCTATGTGGACTAATGTGCTTGCCCAGAAATTGCACAATCTTGTAAATCTCAGTTCTTGTGCAATCATCTTTATGATCTTGGATGTGTGATCAAGTCTCACTGAGAAGAAGAGCTATTACCTATCTACCTTATGGTGCTTGAAAATACAATGTACATTCAGACTGACTGTTAATAAAGAGAGAGGAAAATGAGGAAATGCTTTCTCCCACCTGCAGCAGACTGGTGATATTATACTCATCCATCAGTCTCAATGGTCATTTAAGTTATACCTTGACATACTGTGTGTAAAGCTACTTATGGGCTCCTTTTAAGATAGCTCAGTGCACAGTTAAAATAAATAAATAAATAAATATACTTGTATACTGTATAATCAATATTACAGTGAAGTGGAATTTGATAAATATGTAAGAAAACTAAGAAAGGAATCTTAAAAAAACGTTTACGTGTGTAGCAACCTCCTAGTTTAGCTAGGAGGGGAACTAGAGTCTAATGGTTAGACAGGATCTGATTAGCAGTTCAGGTGTAATAGCCAGAGGGGTCAAATTTTGGTCAGGGCTGAGAGACTCTGCAGGTCAGACCCTCTCGAATTTCCCTCTGCACTGAGGCTTTCGGAAGAGGGCCTTGGAGGCAGTGGGTGGATCTGAGGAGTGGCTGTCTGCACACTTGAGGGCCCTCAGACAATTCCCAACAGAAGGCTTGGCAAGGGGCTGAAACTCCCTTAAAAGTGTTGGAGCCTGCTCAGTAGCAGGATTGTAGAGAATCGGGTGGAAGAAGGAGAGAGGAAGATGAGCGGCTGAAGGAGGAAGGCTGCCAGGAGGCCTAGTAGGATGGGGCTTACCTATGAGCCCGGAGCTGGAGAGGTGGAAAATGTAGGACCACCTGTATGGCAGTAAAGTAGCAGCCCAGCTGATAGGCTTGGTAGCAGCAGCCAACCCACAAGTGGTACAGAAGAGGATCTGAGTTTGTATATCTGCACTCCCTGGGCGGATAGGGGAAGGAGCACTCTGATGGGAAACCAGATTAGCCATATACTAGTGACTGTTCAACTCATTTAAAGGGACAGGAGCCAGATCCTCTGCTCAGGAAAAGTCTCCAGATTCACCCAGGAGTTCATATAGGGTCTCCAGATTGCCCAGGAATTCATCTAGGGTCTGGGGTGGTGCAACAAGGAGACGCTGGCTAGCTCTCCCAAAGAGACAGTGTTGCAGAACAGAATCTTGTGAATAGCTCCAGGAAGTTTGTCCTCAGTTATTGGTTCCCTTGGGCATCTTATACCCCCCTTACCCTATCCCAGTTCAAATCCCCTCATTGAATCACAAAACAAAAGCTCAAGGACTGATTTCTGACTCAGAACGCAAGTTTGTGTGGAGAATGCAGATTGCCTGGCTGTGCAGGACTATAGGAGGACCCAATTCATCAGCAACCCCTAAGGGGGTAGTGTTACATGCGTTTAAAATATAACTGAAAGCAAATTCAAGAAATACCTTGTCACAATGATGTGATGTTCATCTGCACAGGATTTTTCTTCTGGTCTGGATCTCTCATAGAGCCAAAGCATACATTGAAGGTAAAAACAAATTTGTTTATTTCAAATTACTTAGTTTAATTACTTAATCATTCACATAAAGATGTCTTTAAAGAAAAAAACCTGATTTTCCCAGTCATCATGCTTTCATAAATACACAGCTGGTATAGAAATGGGCATCCAAAAGACCCTCTAATGACCATAGACTAAGGCATAAACTTTGCACCTTGCAAACGCTTACAGTAAACACAACCCAAGCCTTATTTCTTTTATGTTGACACCAATTGAGATGTCCACCATTTAGTAAATTATTTATGCACAGTATCCTTGCATCTTTCTCTTCTCTTTTGGACCTTTAGGTCTCAGCATCCCTGAGCTACCCAACATGCCCAGTTAAACAGCGAAAAACCCCCAAAAAAACTAAAAAATCTTATCTTTGCAAGTTAAGAGCATAACATGCTAGTATGCATTGCATACTAGTACATTATGAAAGACTTACCTGAAAACTAAGCCCTTCAGTGGAGTACTGTCATGGCTCCCCGAGGCTTCCATCTTCACCTGGTCTTCCTTCCAGGTGCGCGAGCTGTGGCTATCTGATTGGCCAAGCCATGATGTTGTCACTCCCGCACATGCGCGCGGGAGTTTTGGCCACAGCATGGCTCTCTCAAAGGATGGAATGCCGCCCATTGAGAATGCAGTGCGCATGCACTGGTTACATCACCGATGCTTCCACAGTAATTATCTCCTAAACGGTGGACACTTAGGAGATATTTACAGTACCTACAGGTAAGCTTTGTTAAAGGCTTACCTTATACTAAACTTAACAAATGTCATCCAGTTGAAAATCAATACATTTGCAGTTTTATTTTCATTTTTTTGACAGTAGTGAGAAGTATTTTCCTTTTCAAGAGAGACCTTTACCTTACCTCAAGCAGACCCAATTGCAAACATATTTAATATGTAACAAAGATAGAAGCAAATACACTGAAACAATTTAAGTCCAAATACCAGTGTACATTTACCTTATGACAGTAATAGACTATTGAAAACAATATCATCCAAGTACACCTTTTTTACTTGCAAAATTAGATCTCTTGAGCATAGCAACCCATCAAAACAGCTAAAGTTATGTTAACATCTAATTGAAAAGTGAAGGATCCATTACAAATGAATGTAGACAGAAGTTACCGTATCCTTTTGCAATGTCTTGGAATAAGGGGACATACGGTCTTTCAGAGAACTCTTCAGCATGGTTGATGAGAGCATCTTTCACCGTCTCGTAACCACAAAGGATAACCATCTTTTGTTTCCCTATTTGTATGCTGAACACTGAGCCATATTTCTTAGCCAGCTAAAAAAAAAAAGAACATATCAATTATATTTTGTTTTTAACCTAGATAAGTGAATTGAACAATGAGTCACCAATCTGCCATCTAAACTGGAAAAATTAAAGTTTTATTTTAATTCTAAATTCACCAAGCTACCTCAATGTAATTACTAGCATATACTAGCAGTTCTCAACTCTCTGTGACTTCAAAGGGCATATTTCCTGGTTTTGAAAATATGTTCTTTGAATGTTTTGGTTTCTACAAATGCCATTTTTTTCAGTTTAGAAATTAAATTTAGAATTACACTACAAAATATATAATCATTTTATGTCTTTTAGATATACCTATTTAGGCTATTCTATACAACTGGAATGTAACTTCAGAGGCAAAATTGAACATGATCGGAATGAGGTTCAAAATGTTCAAAAGCAAGGTGCTCCTGGAATAATTGGGGAATGTTTTCAGCATTTGGAGCAATAAATCCTGGATGGGGTGTTTAAGGGATGTGAGTGTTTTTATCATTAAGTCACAGTGTTTGGGCATTAATTGCTGTATAATTTCTCGTGGAAACTCTTCTATCAGTGTTGGACAAGGCCTGGTGTGGTAGGTGGAGTCCACAGAAGCCACCAATCCATGGAGACAAAATGAGGTGACCTAGAACAGCCATTCATTGTTTCTTTATTCACTTGCACTATTTTTCACGTATCTTTCATGTCGATGTCTTCACTCTCTGCCTGTTGTGGCAGAGATGGAAGCAGTGTCATGGTCAAGGCAATGAATTTTCACACATCTTATTTTGTACAGCTAACAATGGACTTTAACAGATTTTCAGAAAATATTTTAAATAAATCAATACAACAACAATGCAATGGTCACATAGAAATCAAAACAACAATACATTATTGTATTATACTGTATTACATTATAATATTCTGAGCAATACTGTACTAATGAACCATACCTCTAAGAAGGTCTTGTGTGGTCTTTTCAGGTCCAGAATATGCATGTTTCCAATGATGGGTAAAGGTTTCGGGCCAGGCGGAAAATTTGGGTAAGCATTCTGTTTGGAGCCTTCAATGATCTTCACCAAAAAAAGAGAGAGTAGAACCAAAAGAAGAATGGTGACTGGGTCAGTAAGAAACATGACTCCAGAATTCCTATGAAGAAAAATATGTATGTTTTAACTTATAGTGAAGATATTATTTAAAGGGTAACTCCGCTTTTGTGGGAAAAAAATAGCAAATAAAAAAAAAAACCTAATACAGCACATACAATTACGGCACAAGTCATATTGTAAATTATTGTTATTAAAAGTTACTTTTCATTTTCAGTCCGCAGCACTGAAATTTTCTCTAAAATGCAATATGGCTACCTGAAAACATAGAAAAATGAGAGCAGAAAAAAAGTTACATACATACATATACATACATATATATATATATATATATATATATATATACACACATACATACACACACACACATACATGTTTTGTATTTTTTTTTGTTTTTGTTTTTTTTTTGTTTGTATGTTTTTTTTCCATTAGTATTTTTGGAGTATAGATCTATGTTTGTTCCAAGCATTTTTTAACCCACTTACTGTTGACTAACTCACTACCTCTGCTGGAAGTCTATTCCAATCTATTCCAAGCATCAACTACCCTTTCAGCAAAATAATACTTTCTAATATTAGTTTTGGACTTTCCTCACAGATAAGCCTACACAGATAAGAAAATTGTATGAAAAATACTGTTTTCAAAACAATCATACAATAGTCTGATCATTAGTACACAGCTTTCGTCCAAAATAATTTGAAAGGACAAGCACAAAAAAGTTTTTTCTCATACGATACCAGATCGTACGATTTTCATTTAATCTATACAGTTTTCATCCGAAAATACAATACAAATACATTACATCACTTCTGAATTTTTATTCTGTTGTACAAGAATTTTCATAACTTTAGTAACCTCTTCACTTTTGATATGAGATTAGCGTGCACAAAACCCACGATCATTCATCCGATACTCTCATTGTGTGTACAGGGCTTAAGTTTAAGGTCATGTCCCCGTGTTCTTGATCATGGTTTTATATTGAAAATACTACCCTCTTGAACCTTATTCACCTCCTTGATGTATTTAAAGGTTTCAATCATGTCTCTCCTTTGCCTTCTTTCCTCCAGACTGTATGTTAAGTTCCTGAAGTCACTCTTGATATATTTTATCCCCCTCCCTTTAGACATTTCACCATTTTGTTACCCGTCTCTGGACTCTGTCTATTTTAATAGTATCTTTTTGTAAGTGAGGGCTCCAGAACTGGACACAGTATTCTAAAAAAGGTCTAACTAAACTAAAGATCAGGACCTCCTTCCTTCTATGATAGTGATATAAAGGAGGAATCAGGACCTCCTTCCTCCTGCTGGTGATCTTCTACTAGGGGAATCAGGACCTCCTTCCCCCTGACCCCTAGTGATATAAAGATCTATATAGGGGAATCAGGAGACCCCACTAGTGAATCTATATAGGATCAGGACCTCCTTCTTCCTGCCGGTGACCCCTCTAGTGATATAAAGATCTATATAGGGGAATGACCTCCTTCTTCCTGGTGACCCCTCTAGTGATATAAAGATCTATATAGGGGAATCAGGACCTCCTTCCTCTTCCTAGTGATATAAAGCTATATAGGGTGACCCCCTCTACCCTTCTAGTGATATAAAGATCTATATAGGGGAATCAGGACCTCCTTCTTCCTGCTGGTGACCCCTCCTATAGGGGAATTCCTTCCTGCTGGTGACCCCTCTAGTGATGCATCCTAGAATTCTATTCTATTCACTTTTCCCACTGCCATGCCACACTATTTGCTCATTTTGCAATTATCTGAAATAAGTACCCCCAAATCATTTCCCTCTGTAGTGCTGGTGAACACTGTACCCCCAATGTTGTACACTCTCAAAGGCTTCTTTTTTCCTAGGTGCATTATTTTCATTTAGAAACATTGAACTGCAATTTTGACTGCATTGACCAATCTTCTAGCAATACCAAATTATGTTCTATGTTACAAACACCTCCAGGGATATCAACTCTACTACACACCTTTGTATCATCAGCAAAAAGACATACCTTACCCAACAACCCTTTAGTCACATATAGATTAAAGTGGTTGTAAAACCTAAACATTTTTTTACCTTAGTGCATTCCTTGCATTAAGGTAAAAAATATTTTTATATTGGTTTTGTCCCTCACCCACTGGTTGAACAAAAAAAAGGATTAATGTATAGCCAGCTGTAGTGAAAAAAAGGACAGTTCTTGTCCAATCAGCAGTGTTGATTGATCATAATCAGTGGGGAAAATGCTTATCTAAACATCAGTGTTGTCCTCAAGATAAATGGTGGTTAGAAGTGCCTTCTCTTCCTCCTGTAGTTTAAAGTGTTACTAAACCCAGGACCCTGCATTCCCTATATCTGGTCTCCCCTGGTCTCCCCGGACCCTGCATTCACTATATCTGGTCTCCCACAGTACACAGAACATGGAAATACAATTATTTTAGTAAATATAAAGTGCTAAAGACCTTTTCTCATCAGCAGTTAGAGCAGTTGTCACGTACCTGATGGGAGACTGAAATGACAAGGTCGGCCTCACTTGTGTCACTAGCCCTGACCCCACTGGAGTTGGAACAGAGGGAGTCTAGGACCCAGGGGAACAAGAGTGCCAGTAGTTGTTGTTTGCAGCTCTTGCAGATGATGACCTTGGAAGACTGATGATCCTCTGAGTCAGGCACAGTGGTAACATGCAGAGCTGGTTTTGTAGATCACCAGGTGTGCACCAGAGCAAGGCAGGAAGCGTGAGGGAGAGACAGGAGCAGTGTCATAGGAATAGCCAGGGTCATCAACAGTCGGGCAGCATGGTACAGAATCAGAAGCAAAGCCGAAGTCAGGAGCAGAAGCCGAAGTCAGGAACCAGTATCAAGCAGGAGGGTAATCAGAGTGAGGTGAGGAACAAGCCGGGGTCAGCAACAAGGGAATCACACAGGAACAAGCAGGACACGGGGGAGCTGAAGACCAGTCAGCACTCAACATGGGCAGGGACACCCTTTAAATAGTCCGTCTGGCGGCAATCTTCGCCGTGCGTGTGCACGTGTGAGTGTGTGTGCGATCGCGCATTTCCGCGCGCATGTGCACAACTGGTCATCCTTCTCCAGACGTTTCTATGCACATGTGCATTTCTATTCACAATTCGTTTCACTGGAAATCCCTTACAGCAGTCTTGTGACTTCAGGTGAGCACTAGTTAAAGCTTGTAGGATGAGTTTTCTTTCTGCTCTAGGAGGATGCAGAACCCCTGACCCTCTGTCTGGACAGTGCTGATTGGCCCTGTGCTGATCACATGCAATCTCTCAAGAAAAAAAAAAACCTCTCTACAATACACACTAAACTGAGCATGTGCATGTGACTACGGGTTCAGTCTGTCTGATCAGGTGGACATTTGAACAAGAGGAGGGGCAGAGAAAACAGGATCAAACAGGCTTTTTTAGACAATGCAGAGGATTAATCCCTTATGTTCCACAGTGAGTATAACAAGCATGCTTTACTGCATATACAGACTGATTTTACTGTTGTGGGTTTAGTAACACTTTAAGTGTGACCCCCATTTATATACAAACACACCATGAAAGATACTGTCTGTTCATTGAGTCATAAATTCACATGTGGGCATTATTGACAGCCTATGGCCAAATATATTGACAAATGATGATGTCATAATCTACATTCCTAATTTTGCAATCTTTTGGCATCTTTTCTTTTACAAATATATTTTTTTAAGTGCTAAATACAAATGAATATTTATCATCTTACTTTTTCTGTTCTCTCTTGTTCTAAGGATGTGTCTGTCAGGAGTTTGCTTGCAGACTAAATTGTCAGATTTTGCTCATGTCAGGGATAGCGACAGCTCCACCCTTCATCTCCAAAAACTTGAGGTCTTGTGAATATATTCTGTGCGTACTTTTTGCAATACACAAAGTAAATATAGAGTAAAGTGACAATGCAGTATAATGGAAGTTGCATAATAACAATCCCAGCATTACAAGGTACAAATATTTAAACTGTTTTTTTGTTACCTTTAACGGGAAAGTCCAAAGGTCTTTTAAATGCAATCTGGTTAAACACCAGTTGGCATTTGTTCACATTAAAGGGAAGGAATTGTATATTTGTATGTGCATGTATTTGTAATTTTTTTTCAGCAAGCCCATATTTTCTATGTTTTGTTTAAATGAATTATATTGATTTTGATAAAGAAAAACAATATTTTATAAATATTTAACTATCACTATGTAATGCTGGATGGGACTTTTGCAGGTGGGCTGTTATTTTTTTCCATGATGATTCTACCATAAGGAACAGAGATTTGTTCTGACAAGTGTTTTTTTTTTCCGCTAGACCCAGTTCACATATATGCGAATAGGGTACATTTTGAACCGCATCCAATTCGCAAGACATGTGAACCAAAAGCCTTTTCTATGGAGTTGGTTCACATGTGTGAGGGCCAGCAGCAGTGTGATTTAAAGTGGAGTTCCACCCAAAAGTGGAAGCTCCACTTTTCTGCCTCCTCCTCACTCCGCTGCCACAGTTGGCACCTTTTGGGGGGAGCAGGTACCTGGTTTTGACAGGTACCCACTCCCTCTTCTGGATCAGTTTGCCGTGTTGAACTGAGCAGGAAGTTCGGCACCCCCCACAGCCCTCTGGGATACTTCCAAGGTCCCAGAGGACTGTGGCCCATTTGCAAAGTGCAGCGCACATAGTGCATGTACAGTAGGAAACCGGCGGTGAAGCCGCAAGACTTCACCATCGGTTTCCCTTAGTCAGCACCCGACAGCCAATTGAAGAATTGGATCAGGGTGAGGACACTGCTGGATGCATGGACTGGTAAGTGCACTACTATTAAAAGTCAACAGCCACAGTATTTGTAGCTGCTGACTTTTAATTTTTTTGGGGAGATGGCGGGGGCAAGAAATCCGCTTTAACCACTTGCCGACCCACCACAGTGTTTTTACTGCGGCAGGGCGGCACCTGTGTGCACAGCGCAGTCTTTTAACATCGCTGTGCAAAACAGGTAGGGGGCGCGCACGAGGCGCGTGCGCCATACCCATCCCGCAGATTGTGACAGCGGGAGTCTATCACTGGACCCCGGCGGGTCATTACCCACCAGTTCCCGGCGATTACCTGTCATCACTGACAGATAGCACGGCTGCAATGTTTACATTGCAACTCTGCTATCTGTCAGTTTAGAGCACGCTGAACCTGAGAGAAGACTTTATCTCTTGGGATCAGCATGTTCCTGTGAAGTACACCCCCCCCCATCCACTAGTAAAACACTCCCCTCACACAGTTAACCCTTTCATTGAATAAAAAAGTTAACCCCTTCCTCCCCAGTGCCATTAGTACAGTGTCAGTGGTTTTTTTTGCACTGATCACTGTATTGGTGTCACTGGGGATGTCAGTGACCCCAAGTCAGTTCCCCCTCAGTGTCAAAATGTCCGCCGCAGTCCTGCCATAAGTCACTGATCACTGTCATAAATCGCTGATCACCGCCATAAGTCGCTGATCGCCGCTATTATTAGTATAATAAAAAAAAAATCCCAGTATCTTTCCCACCATTTGTAGATGCTATAAATTTCACGTAAACCAAATAATTTACACATATTGGGATTTTTTTTTTAGCAAAGACATGTTGCAGAATACATTTTGGCAGAAATTTATGACTAAATTTGATTTTTACAATTTTTTTACTGGACATGTTTTATAGCAAAAAGTCCAAAATATTGTTTTTTTTTTTTCCAAATTGTCAGCCTTTTCTTTATAGCGCAAAAAATAAAAAACGCACAGGCAATCAAATACCACTGAAAGAAAGCTCTTTTTGTGTGAAAAAAGGACATCAATTTTATTTATGTACCATATAGCATAACCGCACAATTGTCCGTTAAACTAGCGCAGCGCTGTATAGCAAAAAAAATGTCGTAAGTTGCAGTATCTATACCATAGTTTGTAGACGCTATAACTTTCACACAAAGCAATCAATATACACTCATTGGGATTTTTTTTTACCAAAAATATGTAGAAGAATACATTTTGGCCTAAATTTATAACCAACTTTGAGTTTACTATATATTTTTTATAGCTGAAAGTAAAAAATATAGTTTTTCTTCAACATTTTTGGTCTTTTTTTGTTTATGAAAAATAAAAAGCGCGCAGGTGATCAAATACCACTGAAAGAAAGCTCTATTTGTGTGAAAAAAAGGACGTAAATTTTGTTTGGGTGCAGCATTGCATGACCGCGCAATTATCAGTTGAATTAGTGCAACGCCAAGTAGAAAAAAGAGGCCTGGTCATTAAGGGAGGTAAATCCTCAGGAGGGCAGGTGGTTAAAAAAGAGTTACGTCTTTCAGTCAAGTTCAGGTGCGATTTTCAATGTCATACTCTTTAACAATTCGCACCTGAATCTCATCTGAATTGTTAGCGAAGTTGCACCAGACAGGGATTGACATTGCTCTGCAATCCGGCCCCACACATATGTGAACCCTGGCTAAATGGGATTAAAAAACTCCAACATAGAATTTGTGCCCTAATGATGATGTCACCTATGTACCATTGGCTGGTGAGAGCTGATAAGGAGGGACTGTGTATTTATAGCCTCTGTATGTATCTCATGCATTCAGGGTATCCCCTTAGGTCAGGGACTGACAGGTCTACACTTTTCCCCATTGAAACAAGTTTGAAACCATTATATGAGATTCTGATATTTTCCCATTCCTCCCAACTTTTGAACTTCAGAATGAGAGACACTTGAGGGAGGAAATTACCTGTGGCATGCGTAATGCGCTGGGGCAAAAATGGATGTGGCCAAATTCTTAACAGTGGGAGGAGCCTAAGGGGCATGGTTAAACAAAACCCTGGCTTTCTTCTACCTATAAAATATGCTTTGATTGCTGTGCCACATGCAAGAGTCTCAAGGACACAAACCCCAGCACAATTATTCAAAAAAAAGGAATAAAAAAACCTTCCATTACAAATGGTTTTACACAAACTGTGGAAGAGTGCGTTACGCAAAGTATGGAAGGATTCAGGAATGTGTTATGTTCAGAGTGCAGGATTCAGCGATGTATTTCATACAGAGTGCAGGATTCAGGGAAGCGTTTCATACAGGGATGTGTTTTCATACAGAGATTCAGGAGTGCATTTCATACATTCAGGGATGTGTTTCATACAGAGTGAAAGATTCAGGAGTGCATTTCATACAGAGTGCAGGATTCAGGGATCAGGTGTGTTTCATACAGAGTGCAAGATTCAGGAGTGCATTTCATACAGAGTGCAGGATTCAGGGTGCGTAACATACAGAGTGCAGGATTCAGGATGTGTTTCATAGAGTGAGTTAGGAGTGCATTTCATACAGAGTGCAGGATTCAGGAGTGCGTTCATACAGAGTGCAGGATTCAGGAGTGCATTTCATACAGAGTGCAGGATTCAGGGATGCGTTACGTACAGGATTCAGTGCAGGTTTCAGGCAGGATTGCGTTACGTACAGAGTGCAGGATTCAGGAGTGCGTTTCATACAGAGTGCAGGATTCAGGAGTGCATTTCATACAGAGTGCAGGATTCCGGAGTGCGTAACATACAGAGTGCAGGATTCAGGAGTGCGTTACATACAGAGTGCAGGATTCAGGAGTGCGTTACATACAGAGTGCAGGATTCAGGAGTGCGTTACATACAGAGTGCAGGATTCAGGGAGTGCGTTACATACAGAGTGCAGGATTCAGGAGGTGCAATTCATACAGAGTGCAGGATTCAGGAGTGCAATTCATACAGAGTGCAGGATTCAGGGATACGTTACATACAGAGTGCAGGATTCAGGGATACGTTACATACAGAGTGCAGGATCCAGGATGCGTTTCATACAGAGTGCAGGATTCAGGAGTGCAGTTCATACAGAGTGCAGGATTAAGGGATGCGTTTCATACAGAGTGCAGGATTCAGGGATGTGTTTTTATACAGAGTGCATTTCATACAGAGTGCAGGATTCAGGAGTGCGTAACATACAGAGTGCAGGATTCAGGAGTGCGTTACATACAGAGTGCAGGATTCAGGAGTGCAACATACAGAGTGCAGGATTCAGGGTGCGTTACATACAGAGTGCAGGATTCAGGGCAACGTTACATACACAGTGCAGGATTCAGGGCTATGTTACGTACAGAGTGCAGGATTCAGGGATGCGTTACGTACAGAGTGCAGGATTCAGGGATGCGTTACGTACAGAGTGCAGGATTCAGGGCTATGTTACATACAGAGTGCAGGATTCAGGGATGCGTTACGTACAGAGTGCAGGATTCAGGGATGCGTTACATACAGAGTGCAAGATTCAGGATGCGTTACATACAGAGTGCAGGATTCGGGGATGCATTACGTACAGAGTGCAGGATTCAGGGAAGCGTTACGTACAGAGTGCAGGATTCAGGGATGCGTTACGTACA